ACAATCTTTCGATTATATTATACAAAATATGTACAGAATCTTCTACCTTAACATTATAAAGTCGTTTTATCTCATTACTCAATGATACTGTTGTATGTCTTTCTATTTGTATTATTTCTGAAGTACTAGTTTCTATCCTGACTGTAGATACAAAAAATATATATAGTCAGTGAGTAGTTTCATATAAGCAAAAATGATAGATTAGTCGACAAATCTGAGATATAATCCCAATTCTCATTCCTTATATACTTTATATGATTTATAAAAAGCTAATTAAAGAATTAAGTTAAGTGTGTAAGTATTATATGGTATAAGGGTAGCATGAGATTGTAATTCATTTTGAGAACAATGAATCAATACATACATATACACATAATATAATTACAATTATAAAATAATACCTCTAACTAATAACGTGTTTGGTCTAAATTTTAATGACGCCCACTGATGCAAGCCTTCCTCTAATGTTACAGCTTCAGCTCCTAATTCTAGCTGATGCTCCATCTTTGGTGATAATATTAAAGGCTGACATTTATTGTTTGATAACATCTAGCAAAGACAGGTTTTATATTACATAATTTAATGCTTACTATTAATATAAATACGAGAAATATTCTTACCTCAACGCCATCCGTTTTTGTACGAACTAACATTCGATAGACCTTTACTCCATGTTTTATTCGTTCATGTTCTGGAAGATCTGTTTGTCCTATTTCAAAAAGATTATATGAAACATTTTTTTTATTTATTTTAGAATCAGTTTTGTCACTTGCTAGATCATCTGTATCTGATAAACACAAATCTTTATCAAAGATTTTAAGATAATAATTAGATAAATCATTATCGTTACTATCCGAGTCTGTATGATTTGCAGCCTTCTCGAGTTTGTCTTCTATAGTATGTTTTCTTCTAAAATATTTGTCACATAACATAAAATATATACATAACAAATTCAATTTTTATATAATATTATGTTTTATGCTTTATACTCACTTTTTTGATGATTCACTTTTAACAAAATGGTATCTAAGGATATATTTGTATATCCAAGAATTCTTTTGTGGTACGGTGGCAATGGTAGATGGTAATCTTTTATCAATGTAAACAATATTCTTTCCACAATGCGATTTCACAACCACTGGTACAAGCCATGAGTCAGAATGATCCGAATCTATGTTGCTCAGTAGACACTTGAGGCCACTAGATGAAATAACAATATCTGCTCCAGTTTCGATTGCAAGATTCTCGCAATATGTATCCTCGCTCACGGGTAATCTGAAATGTTGCGTCACTTTATCAGGTTCGATACATGGAGGATATTTTGCTAGCAATGATGCAGTCTCCACGAACAATAGATGTTGCTGATCGAGTTTTGGCAATATCACCTTTGAAAAAGATCCCTGAAAATGATAAAATAATATACATATTCAAATTAAATACATCAAATAAATATTAATCGTGATAACTTACTTGTTGCAAACAAGACGAGATTTTTACTTTAATATCTTGATTTTTTAAATTAGTCCTTTGTACAGAAAGTGGTATACTTATAGATTCAATATAATATCTCGGTAACTTTTTAAACCTTTGCATTTTTATGTTCCATTTTGCTATCACAAATTTATTACATTTGATTTTCCAGTTGAAAGTATCATCCCATTGACTCTTTGCAAAATCTAGAAAGTCCTTCTGTTCTTCAGATATTATCTTTTGCAATGCCTGGAAGAAGTTAATTTTAATTTCAATAATAAATCAGAAGTTTATTGAATTGTTCACACATAAATAAAAGTAAATTTAAATTGTTTTTCTTTTTTGTCTTGCTTAATCTTACAAAATAGAGAATATTGAACTGGATATTAAAAAATATAGAAATTTAAAATACTCAATAATGTCTATTCACCATGTATTGCTCAAACTCTTTTCTCTCTTCATCGGACATGCTCTTTTTTTCATTGTTAGACAATCTTAATAAAACACGAAGGCACATAGCTTGCTGAGCTTTGTTCAAAGAAGATTTTCTAGGAAAGCCAAACGATAATTTTCTTATGCCAGGTACGTAAGGTCTCTCTTGTTCTTGCATACGAGAGTTACTCTCACTCTTGATTTCTTGCTGGTTGACTTCTAACTGATTATCATCTTCCGAATCGGTCAAAACTTCGCCATCCTCACGGAGATATTTTTTAACCAATTCTAAATCAACATTAGCATACTCGTTGTCGATATCTTCAAGTGGATCCGTGAAGTTACCAGTCAAAATTTTGTACATTGCGCTCTCGCGCTCCATTCTCTCATCTCTGATGAATACATTGTCTATTAAATCTTCCAATAGAGGATGCCTACAATAAAGTAACAATATCACGATTAAGTATAACATATAATAATATACAGGAAGATTTACATCATATACATATAAATATTAACCCTAGTACACATAATGCATCATTCATGCTTTGGGTTAATTTTACAAGTATAAGTGATTCTTACATCATTTTAACATCTTAAGAAAGTATTTATAAAATTACATATTTAAAAAAAAAAGGAAACATTAGAGAGAATTCCATTATTTACCCAAGTTCTCCTAGTATTTCAAAGAAAAGAAATACGCAAGATACAAATGATTCAATTATATGTACTAATTAAGAGTTAAGTGTAAATGAAAAATTGCTGCTGGATTAATTAACATATTTTATAAAACGGAGCTTTTAAAATAAACTTTTTCAAATTAGAGAGTGGGAAAAATACCAATATCACATCACTTAAAGTCCATTACAAAATATGAGTTAGCTCACTGTTACAGTAAATTCTTCAAATGTAAATCAAGAATTTAATATAAATCTTTCTATAAATTATAAAATGCAGAATTTATCGTCAAACAGTCTAAGTGTGTTATATATCACGGATCATTCAATAATCATGAAAAAAAATTGTACTCAAATCGTACAAATCGTATATACATAAACAGAAATTACAAAATCTACTTCTAATTCTGATTTATAAATTTATGCTTCGAATTTATGCTTAAAATTATTTAATGAAATCGCTCACATACCAGTCGAGGTTCTGAAACTTTTCCATGTTTAAACAATACTTTTTACGGTAATAAACACGAATAGAAGATTAGATGAGTCTTTTACTCTCGGCGAGTGGACCGAGAAAACCAGAGAAGACTGAAGTTTTAGTAGGAAAGTTTTTCATAAATATATACTCTTTTTACATATTGCTTTAAGTGCAGGAAAGTAGTTCGTTTTTACATGTCTTTTTTACTCGTTTTTGGTATTTTTTCTTTTCTCTTTTTCTTCTCGACACGTGATATGTATATCCATTTTACTTCAAGTGCAGAAAATGTGACACAGTGAGGACATAAAGAACAAAACTTAGCAGAGTGCACATAACATTACACCTGCACCATCTGCACGTCAAAACTTTTTTTTATCCTGTCAGCTGACTAAATAATAATATATTTATTCTGAAATATTTTTGTTTATTCTGTTGCATAGCTGAATCATACATGAACTGTTTTGGTTGAAAATTGATGATTTAAAATCTCCTGAAGTTATCTCTTGTTTCACAAGGTCGGTGGAGTTACGTCAAAAACGCGGCTGAAATCATCTTTTCGGCAGAATGAATTTCGGAAGGATTGCTAATATCAATGTTTTCCGTAAAATTCGACAGCTTGGTAAGTCACAAGTTTTTCCATAATTTCCAGCATTACGCTTGCTTCGTTTCGCGAGCTGAGTAGAATTTTCCATACCTAACCTGAAAGTGCGTTTACATAATCTTTCAATCAGAAAATGTATCATGCATTAAATTTCCTTGAATATCTAATAAAGTTTCTTACATTATTTGATACTTCGTTTATTATTTGCTTTATATTTATTTGCATTTATTTTGTTAATTATTGAATAAACATGGTAATTATGCAAATTCGATGATTCTGTTGCAGAAACATTGATCAAGCCTGGTGGTTTACTTGTGCGAAGCTGTCCTAATCCAACGCAGTTTCCTAAATCCACATCAAGTCTTGCAAATTTGAACCGTTCTGTGATTCCTAATGCGAGCAATTATCCAAAATGCAATATTCTGTCCAAGGTTGATAGTTGTAGAATTTTTACTGTGACTTTATTTCTATTATCTATTCTTATACTCTAAAGATAAGATATATTTTATTTTGTCAAATTTTTTCCAGCTGTCTGTACAATCGACAGTCAGCATGACTCAAACTCGTGCGGCGAGCACTCATGGCGATCATGTGCGCTTGTGGATAATAGAGAAAATAGTGTCTGTATCCTTTCTGCCACTTCTACCTGCTGCCCTACTTTTTGAAAATAAATTTATCGATATAGTACTGGCAGCTGCTATTGTCATCCACACACATTGGTAATTGATATTCTTTGATATTTAACATATCTTCTAGTTTTTTTTTTTTTTTTTTATAAATCTCTATTATGTAGAAAATATGACTGAACTTGAAAGAATAATTTTATTACACAGGGGATTGGAAGCTATCATTATTGATTACGCACGACCCATTGTGGTGGGTACATTGTTTCCAAAAGTGGCGTTTCTTATGCTGAATATACTCTCTGTCGTTACTCTTGCCGGTCTATTTGTGCTGATTTATAATGGCCCTGGCCTTACAAAAACTATTAAAAGTGGCTGGGCAATAAGTAAAAATAGATAGAAACCTGGTTAATATTACTACAGAAATAATTTCATTACATATATAAATAACTTGTTAAGATAGTAGTTCATAAATTATTCACGAATAAATTATTTACTAATTTAAGAACTTGCTTTCTTCCTTATGCTACCTAACTTTTCGTATGTGATTTGCAAATTGAATGACTTGATGAGTGGAATATAAAGGATTGCTATTTATAATATATATATATATATATAT